TTTTTTTTGAAAGGACGATGGCCTTGAGGTATTATCATCGGACTAACCAGCCCAGGTAAATTCAATACTGTGTCTAATCTGACATCGGGTGGCATTTTCAGCCCAGGGTGGCCTTGATTGCCTTCAGGGAACCCCCAATGGGGGACACCGGCCAGGGGACAGCCGGTATCAGAGGGACCGAGCATCATCTGAGTGGCTACGGTAGTCGCTGTGCCTCCCCGATTACCCCTCCCCCTATGAACATCGGCAGAGACTGCTTGTTAATGCCAAATGGGGGGACCAACGGGCTATCTCTAGGTGGCGGGCGCCAAACTAGGGAAGCCGGGCCCGTTTCCCCGGCTTGTATAATAGTAATAATGAGGGATAATTTACAAAATACCCCCATAAGTTGAGATATATGCCAAAATGCCCCTGAAAGATGTGGGTAGAGCGGAATGCCCTTTTGGGCCGAATTCTTTGTGTTTTGCCCCTGTCAGGCCGGTGTGCAACTTTGCAATCTGGACCTCCCCGTTTGGGCCTTGGCCTTTTGCAATAGCGCCTAGGAAAAGTAGGCAAGTACTGGGGCATTTTGCAAAGTTGGACGGTACCCGGTAAGGGTATTTTGCGAAGTTGGGGGTCCAACCGACCCCAGGGGTATTTCACAAAATATTTTTTTTGTCAGAGGGCCATTCCACTCTACCCACTTCTTTTAGGGGCATTTTGGCATATATCTCAACTTATGGGGGTATTTTGCAAATTAGCCCTAATTATTAGTAATAATAATAAAAACGGGAGTGGGAAAAAAAAAAGTGCACACGCAATCAATGTCAGGAGATGACCTTTATTTTAGTTATTAATAACCTTTTTTTTTTTTTTTTTTTTTTTTTTTGGAGGAAATGGCATGCAATGACATAACATGTACCTGACTAGATGATGAAGGAAAATTTTCGTCTCTAGCTTGGCAAACTCGTTACCCGGACAAATCCTCTGACCCCCTCCCCAGGGTGTGAAAGCGAAAGGGGGGGGGGGTTGGTCGAAATTAGAGGGGTCGAAAGAATGAGGATTTTTGAAGACGTCACTGTTAAAAGCATTCGGACTGAACGACACCATCACCTGCAAAATGTCCAAACAAACAAACAAACAAACAAATTAATTAATTAATTAATTGATCATAAAATAATATTAAAATCCATGACAATGATATATTTAAATAATTTAATGAATAAATAAATATATATATCATATATGTATTATACTATTATGCAGAGTTGCCAGGCCGAACCTACGGAGGCCCCTAAGCAGACCCCCGAACGTTCGGGCCTAAAGGGGTTTGAACCACGCAAAAAAATATTTTGGCATCTAAATATTATTAATGTTTTTTCTGAAACTTTGTCTGTGAGTTCCTTGTGATGTAAGGTATATCCCTCTTAATTTTGAAGCCATTCTGTTCAGCCAAAAGAAAATGAAAAATCGGCAAAAATGGTGGTGTCAAAACTTGCTTGCCCATTTACTAATTTGTTGTCTCTTTTTTCACTTTTTGTTTTTACTTTATTTCGGGGCATGAAACAAAATATTATTTTTTAAAACTTTATTTGTATATTCTCTATTATGTAAGATACACATATACACATTTTCATGGCATTTGTCACAGCCAAAAAAAAATGAAAAATCACCAAAGATGGCGGTGTCAAAAACGTGCTCGCCCACTCAATAATTTCATTCTCGTTTTATTTTTCTAATTTTCATTATTATTATTATTTAGTTTTAGTATTTCATTTTATTTCAAATTTGGTAAAGAATTTGGGTGTAACGTTGTGGCAAATGTTGTTTAGTTTATTCTTCTGTATAACATATATTGTTTTCAGAGTTTTTGGATTTTTGTTTTTTTTTGTTTTTTTTTTTTTGGGTCCGCGTTCGGCCCGAACGGTCGGGCGTTCGGGCCGCCCGAACACCGGCAACCCTGCTATTATGTATATTAAAAACCTTTTTTTTTCTTTTTTTTTTAAAACGAGATCTTCTCTATCAGGCGGCTGCCTAACGAGGTGCCCAGTCATCAGGGCTGCACATAAAATAAAACGGATGACACTCAGTCTGCCGGTAGAGCTCTGTCCCGCAGTTTCCAAGCAGGAATAAATTTAAAACAATAGTAGAAACTTTTTTTTTTTTTTTAAAGGAATTGTCTTTTAATAGGGCCCAGTGCCCAAGGCCGAAAAATATAAATGATACCAATTCCTGATTCAGGGGAAGTGAGGTCTCCAGTCTACTTCTTGAGGTGGAGCCCCTCCCCTGTGACAGCTCAATGAAAAAAAAACTAAGAAAGAACCTACTCAGTAACAAACATCCACATAAATTGTACCTATCACAGGAAAATGCACCTAAAATTAACAAACAGGCACAAAAAAATTATATTTCCTAATGTGGGGGTAAAAAGATGATCTACTGTCGGAAAGGACCAAAATGGAAGTCTCCAGTACAGGCGCCAATGGATGCTAAGGAGGGATTACAGGCCCAATGACGGTGGAACCACTTGACCCCAGTACGCAAGTTTCGTCTTTGGCCAATCTTTTTGCCCAAATCCAAGCAGATGATGTGCCGAAGGTCGGTCTTCACTCGGTGAAGTACTTGCTGAACCGAAGGAGGCTCACCATTTCTGACTACAGCATTTCGATGTCGCCACAGATGCCACAACATTGTTGCCCTAATGGTTTCATATACATATGCTTGTGGTTTTGCAAAAGCCAATAACCCAGTACCCAGAAGAATGGCTTCTGTGGACCAAAGGTCCATGTGATGATGTGGGAGAAGAGCAACATTCTTAAGTATTGTCCATACTTCTCGGGCGTATTTACATGTAACTCACAGATGTTGTTGATCTTCTACCAGATGTCCTGTGGAGCAGACTGTGCAAAAAGGAGCACCTTTTTTTCGTCGACGATACAAGAAAGCAGCAGTGGGAATGACATTGTGCATAATCAGCCAGAATAAACCAACATGCTTTGTTACTGTTAGGGTTGGTAGTAAGTGCCAGAAAGCTGTGAGTTTGACTTAGGAGAGTTGGATCCCTAGTCGTCGCTATTTGGTTATGACACCCCAGTCAACATCAATGTCGGGCAGGAGTTTTGCGTAGGCCATACGGGCAGAATGTTGGTTGAGAGAAAACATCTGATCAGGATGGCGAGGGTCAGTCTAGTACCAATCCTGGGGATCTAAAGATAAATCTTTAGCTGCAGTGTTTATCCTGTAAGGGTAGAAGGAAGGAATCCTTCTTTGATTGCTTTCGAGGACACTCACTGCAGTCATATGGGTGAGGTCAGATGAGATAGAGGCGACAGAAGACCGCTGCAGGGCGGTACCCAGTCCCTTTTGTCCAGTGCATAGTTTCCATGCTATCAGTTCTCAGTCAGTGTCTGTTACCTGAGATTCAAGTTTCCACAAGTGGTAGGTGGGTTGCTCTGTGTCATCTCGAAACCAGGCCCCTGGTAAATAGGTTCGTTGAGCAAGGACGGTAGTCCAGGTGCCCGGTACTGCTTGCTGGATGGCAGTTAAGCGGGCCCACCAGTCATGTAGTCCATGGAGTAGGGGCTGGATCTGAAGTTCATCTTTTGTGTTCATCCCACAGATGTATCAGAGTAGCAACACCTCGGGACATCCAAGAATATCCAAAAGTTGTTGTGCCAAGTAGAGGGAAAGGAACGCCGCCCGAGTTCAATATACATGGGTTATTGAAAATAGGTTGTGTTAATAGGTGATCATATTGAAGAACAGGGGCTTTCCTACTTGGAAGAATCAACCTCCAAGCACCAAGTATGCCACACCAGAGGGGTGACAAAGCTCGTTTCCGACAGTACTCGTCTGTGAACAGCGCCAAATAGACAAGAGGTGGGTTGGAAGTTAGTCCGAAATCAAAGGCTAATAAAGTCTCTGCTAAAGCTTTCCAAGCAGTAGATTCCTCTGCGAAAAGTAGTCTAATCGGCCATTTGGTGAGAAGGGCCCGGGTTTGCAAATCCGGATCTAGTATTGCCAAACCGCCTTTGTTTTTTTGTATGATTTTGTTGCAAGCCACTTTAGAAAGAAAAGAGGTTTCTGCTGTTTTTCCTTCCAAATATAGTTTGCAACTGTTTTCTTAGGGTGTTTATAAACAGAGGGTTGTAAAGCATAAATAGAGTGTTCATACCAAAGTTTAGAAAAAACGACATTGTTGATGATGAACACTCGTCCATATAAGGCTGCACCTTTGGTCTTCACCCAAGATGCGAAGACTGCATTGATGGATGTTATAAGTTGATCTGTAGGTTTGTCGATATGTCCATCGAAATTGACATAATATCCCAGCAAACGCTGGGAATCAGCAGAAACAGCTATTTGGAGGCCCCAATGGACAGGAGGAGGGCAGTGAGAAGGTACCAACAAAACTGTTTTTTGCCAATTGATTTTTGCTTCGGATACTGTAGTAAAAAGGAGGATAGTGCGTTTGAGAGCGTCGAATACTTGGTCTTGGAGCAAAAGAAATAACGATGTATCATCTGCAAAAGATTGTCCTTTTGCGTGCTGAAAGGGGGGGAAACATAGTCCAATGACGCAGGGGTCAGCACGGATCATGCAATGCAATGCCTCAATGTATAATATATGTAAGTAAGGGGCAAGAGGGCACCCCTGTCGCACCGATCTTGACAAAGTGATTGGTTGAGATAGTTTGCCATTAATGTATAGGCGAGTGGTGGCACCTAGAAAAAGAGCTCGCACGCAGGCGAAAACATTTACTATAGCTGACAAATGTGAACTTGAAAGCCATTGGTGAAATTGTGATCATACTCAATGCTCAAATATAATGTGAAATTGTAAAATTACATTGAATTTCAGGAAAAAAACAACAACAAGAAGAGGATACTAGTGGGTTCTGGGGCCAAAGTCGTACTTAGCCATATTCTTCATTTCTAGACGTTTATATTTATGTTCAACAGTCCCAAATAGAGAATTCGAGTCCGAGTCGATGGGAGTTGGCCCCAGGGGATGGGAAAGGAAGAAATGAAGGAAGCATTGAAATAAATGGAGGCCTACACAGAAAATAGGAACCAAGGAGAGATGGATTGACTCGATTCACAATAACTCAGTAAATAAATAAATATGTTGCGTGTGTGTGTGTGTGTGTGTGTGTGTGTGTGAGAGAGAGAGAGAAAGAGAGAGAGAGAGGTATGACATAGGCATGGCTATATGTATATACCGTGCAACTTTGTTTGACGACATATGTTTTTATACGATATATATATACATATATATATATCGTCACAAACAGAACTGCCCGGTAAACCGTAGGCAGAGAGAGAGAAGAGGACAACAAACGAGGGGCTGTGACAAACTGTTTCGTCGGAGTTTCACCGACTCATCAGGAGGCTG